CATCTTTGCTGAATCTTTAATCTTCTGCTCCAATTACAATGTGCCTCTTGTGTCCTAATTGCTTCGCTATTGTTGAGTTGTCAAGCTTTGATTTATCAACACTGCTTTAACTTGCTATTAACTCAAACTCTGATATGGGGTTGGTTAAGTTATGCTGATCTTTGCTAATTCTTAGAATCTCTCAGATGAAAGAAAAGATTTTCTTTGTTGTGTGCTAATCTCTCAAACGTCTTGCATCGTTTGAATTGAGTGGATGTCTATTGAAACTTTAATGAGTATAATCTCACAGATATTAAAGTTTTTTAATCTTTCCTTATAAAATTTATCCATTAATTCCTCCTCTACTTAGTTGTCACTTCTAAGTATATACACATCACTTCTACTTTCAATTGATATTCAGTCGAAAAATGAAATAGGCAATCGACTCTCGGTAGTTTCGATTAGCATTAGCGAGAATTTAATGGTTGTTGTTTTCTACTAAGTTTCTTTGAATGGTCTTTAAACATATGTAAAACTCTTTTGTTGGATAAATGAAAGAATTGATGCACCAAATTTTACCCATCCTCTTAAGGGTCGAGAAGACAAAGATTATCTGACTTCACTTATCTCCTCGAAGATTGTACTTCATATATTAAGATGATTATTAGCCTTTGCTTACACATGTTATCACATTGTGAGTTGATAAGCTAACTCGCATCATGATCCTAATCAAGATTTTGTGAAATGAAAGTTTGTGCAAAAAAGTTTCATATGAGGATCCATACCCAAGTTCAATAAAGAGAAATAGTAAAACCTAAATATAGATTTGGATCCATATCAATCATGTTAGATAATAAAATTTTTTACCAATGTATATTCATGCATAATGGTAAATAATATTTTATTATATTTATTTGATATAAAATAGAAACAATGAGAGTATAACACGTATATTGAAAGGAGTAAGATTATGATTGACTTTCAAAAATAATGATTTTTACTATCTTCAAGTTAATTTGATCGATTGAATTCTGATAATTGAGAAGACATGTCGTGACATAAAACCATCATGCATAATAATAATCAAATTTGCTAGAACATTAGCAATTATACTTTTTAACTAATTTTACAATAATATGATTGGATTTTTTTTTTTCAAATACATGATTCAGACACTCAAAATGGCATGCACAACAATATAAATCATATCCTAGTACTAATGGCAATAATAGGCTTATATATATATGATACAATTGTTAATAATAAATCATGATTAGATTAACATGATGACCAACCTACCCCAACATCTAACCCACAACCAATCATTTTGTCTAGTTTTCACATATCTAAAATCCAAAGTCGGCTAACTAATTTAGGCTCTTAAAATCTAAGAAACATGCATGTAAATAAATAAATATTAGGCCCTCCATCATGTGATTCACATGGGTCATAGGATCAGTTAGTATCCTCATCATCAATTTATTAAGCTCGGAAACAGAGTACATTCGGGTCCATTCAACGGAGCCTGATAACCTACAAAATCCGAATACGAGTCCTCACTTTTTGATCCGAGGAGCCATCGGATCAAGAACGGGTTCAAATATCCAATCCAAATCTAAAAGTTATGGGAAACGTATCATGCATCGATGATGCCAGATTGGAAGAACAAGCTTAAACAGTTGCACCTATGAAATCCCTGCTTAGAACTCGATCCTACTTAGAACTCTCTTCAGAATAACCAAATGAGAAGCCGGCATCGCTTGAAGCGTCACAGAGAGACCTCTGCCACAGTCTCGTAAGTTGCCTTGTGCCAAAGGGCAGTTGGCCTTCTTGCGGCAGGCGAGGCTGCTTCATCTGTCGGTCTCATTTCACATGCACCAACAACAGTCGAACCAAGAACACCTTGTGCGATAACTTGATCCCTTTCTTTTTTGTCCTTGTGTGTGGCTCTGTTCTTTAGCAATGAGCAAGTACGTATCTGTAAATCCACAGCAACAATCCCTAAGGTCAGCTCCTGATTAATTTTTACTTGCTGCGATCGGATCACCTGTTCCTGCAGCAACAGTTTCACACAAAGTGCACGATGGTTTTTAGTGCTTAGATGTGCATTTTCTACTGCTTTCTTTAACCAATTTGGCTTAGCTAGTTCTGTTCATCTTGGAATGGTTGTGTGTTTAAATTGACTTGGGTAATTCTATCTGCTTGTACGGTAGGTTGACCTACTTAGAGAGTGTTCGACGCAGCATGAGTTGGTTGATCCAAGCGTTGCTGGATTTGCTGTTGTTTTCTGCAAGCATGCAGTATCCTCCTCAAGGGAGAGAAGAAATCAAAGCAGAGAAGTCGCTTGTCCTCCATTGGCCTTGTCTCTTTTGACTAGACTCTAACTCTCTTAAATCCTATTCCCTTCGCCTCTGCTTCTCTGCCTCACTCTTCTTTTCTCCTTGTTGACCTCCTCTGCAATCAAAACCCTTTTCATCTCTTTCTCTCTCCCTGTCTGTATGTATCTCCTAATACTGAGATCCCAGATTGTAACCCAACAGTTCTCAACCGCCATGGCAAGTGCATACCAGCTGCAATAAGAGAGAGAGAGAGAGCAGCGACATGTCATGGAGTGGAAATGGAGCAGTGAAGCCTCTTAGCCTCGTCCCATTTCCTTTATCTGTTGACCAATGAGTTGTGTTTCCTCAAAACAAGTAAAGCCTTATGTGGTCGAGTCCTTTTGTTGTTTGATCTCCGTACGTATCCTCTCTCTGAATTGAAGAACCATTAATGTGGTTTGGTGGAATCGCCGATAACGTCCGTTCCCTCTCCTTTTCTTCTTCCTTTGAGCTCGGACATCTCCCTCCCCCAATCACTGTAGGAGTTCTTGAAGCATTCGGCGACGGTGTTCCAGTAGGCCATGAGGAGGAGACGGGCTCAAGCGTCTTTCATAGCATGCTTGGTTCTGGTCATCTCCAGCATTAGCACGCATGTTTTCGCTCGACGGGTCAACGGGAAGCAAAGGTATCACAGGGAACATGAGAAGAGACCGGCAAAGGAGCCCTCTGTCGGCGTCATCACGGTCGGCATCGCCAGATGCAAGTCAGAGAAGATTGGCAGATGCGGATATCTCGCTGGGTCGGGCAAGAACGATAGCTTGGCCGAGGACGAGAAGCGCATCGTGCCCACCGGTTCGAACCCCCTGCATAACAAGTGAACAACTTACAGCAGTTGCCAATGAAGCACAAAGGATCGAACACCAGAGCGAAGGAGCATCAGAACGAGAGGAGGAGAGGAGTGGTTCTCTGAAGCTTTCTTTTCGCTTTCTCCTTTGCCATGAGCCATTGAATATTTGGCTCGAAGAAGCGTTCAACTGTAGAATGTGGTGTATTATTATAATATTTTCTGCTTCGCCTTGCAGTTTTCACAATGTCGTGGAACAATTTTACATATATTTATATTTCAGTTTTTCTTTTTTTTAGGAATCATGAGAAGTTTCAGATCAAAGAACTGAGGATTGTATTTTAGGTGGCAAAAATAATCGAGAAAGAAGGATCCAAAGGCCATCACTTACATGATGTCTCGATATTTGTACGCACAGGTTCTTGGCCATCACCCAGGGCTGCCATGGAGTTCATTGTTGTGTCCGAACTTATTGCTATTCCATTGAAAACATGCAATTCCCGGAAGCACTGTAGTTTGTTGTGTCTCTTCAAAGGAGTCTCCTAGGAGAAATCAAATGATACTTCAGCTACGCAATTCTGATGTGTGCATGTTGGCGAACCATTAAGGATTCACCATCACACCATATCTGATCCTGTAAAGGGTAGCTGGATGAGATTTAAGATGCCATTTTAGACCCGAGGACTAAAGTGCAACTCATGATGCTGCTTGTCTCACAGAACCATGAAACGAGTTCATTCAATCCATTACCTGCACACTCAGCAGCAGATGTCTCTTCATGAATTGATGGCGCCATGGCCCGCCTATTTAAGGCAGCATAAATGGCCAACATCACAGCTTAAAACTTTTCCTGCTGCTCCAGTGTACCAGATCTGCATCGTCCATGGGTTTCATGGTACTACTACGAGGACCAGCCATGACACTATGTTGCAAACCAGTATTACGCTTCAAGCTTCCGTTCTAATCTGACTTCCCTCGTTCTGCTACCGGGAAGAAAGCAATGAAGGGGCAGGAAAGAGATGGGGCTTTGGTTTCTGTGATCTCAGAGGCGAGTGCAGGGTGGCTGAGTTGATGAGGACGAGATCTGCTGTTACATTTTCCAAAGTGCCCTGGTTTTTACTGCTTGAGTCGGTGGGTTTAAGTGGCCAGTCGCAGTCACAGGGGTGGAGATGTTCGATGCTTCTACCGTGAAGTAGGTGCACTCATCTTGTCACTGCAATATGGGTTTGATCAAATGAACTGTAGAAGAGTAGACAGCTCATACTAAGGTTTATAGCCTGGCCTGATATTTAATAGGCCAGAGACTTTTCTTACGTGCATGGCAAAAGACAAGGATGGGTGAAGGCATCTCTCCGTGACTCTCCTTGTTTTTTCTCCGGTACTCACATTAATAATACTGGTCTCTGACAGGAAGTCAGAAACCGAGATGCATCAACTCCACGAGGCTCGTCCCGGTGTGGATTTACTACAGACAGATTTGGTGTCTGAAAAGAATAATAATGCCAATATCCTAATTCTATAATTTGAACTCAGGAGTTCAAGTGGTGATGAAGTAGTATAAGCCTTCTTCATGCTGAACAAAATGTTGAGTTAATGGAGTAGGCAATTGGAGTTGGGTCCTATTTCGAACCTTATGCTTTTCCTCTCCTTTGTGCTGCCCAACAACTTATCCACCAGCAAAGATAAAAATAATAGAAATAGGTCTAAGAAGCTTACAGAGTCAAAAATGTCAGTTCGGTGGCATTTAGCTGCCTCCCTTCATGGATACAAGATCCACGGCATGGCAATCACCATGCATGTTACTGTACCTACTGCTTCAATTGTTGGTGTCATATCTTCTTCTTTCTCTATATATTATCACTCTCTCAACGACAACTGGTTTGTGTGCATCGAGAGTCACCACCATGAAGAAACTGCTTTGTGCATATGTCTCCTGTGTTCTTATGTTGGCCCCTCATCTCTCTCACCAGGCAGCACCGGTAGATTCTTCTTCCTCCTTTCCATCTCCAACCACAGATGGCCGAGACCTAGGCAGAAAGTCACTGAAGGAGGTTGGCTTCCCACCACCGAATTGTGCAGGCAAAGAGAAAGCTGAGGTTAGTATCAGTTACTCTCATTCTTCCAGTTCTGATGATTCAGAATAAGAGAACTCATTCGTTTGATGCAGATGATTCCTAGGACGAAGGAATCAAAGCTCAAGGTCAGTTCACTAGGCAATGAGCACAAGAAGCAAGAGGAAGGGGAAGGTCTCATCATCTACAGCGCAGATTACAGTCTAGTGAGCACGCATCCTCCTCCACTGCACAAGCATTCCAAGCCATAGTCTTCTAGTCTTCTAGTTCCAAGCCATGTTGGATGTAGCTTTTCCACTGAAGTACCTTCTCTTATGTTCTGTCACTGTTCTCCATCGTCTTCCTCAAATAACACCTAAAATGTCGCTCACCCAAGCTTGATTTCCTGTTATAATCGCAAGAGTGCAACTTCAAGTTTGGATGTGTAACCCCAGGAGAAGAGACACCGTGAAGTGCTACTATGTCAGTCAAAACCATACAGCTATTATATATTTCAGTATTCCCTTCACGGCATGCTCACGATGTAATCAGAAATCAAAGATTTAAATCACCTAAGGATAAATTCAAATATCTTTGACAGTAACAAATCTAAATCACAAGCCCTTTATACTAAAACATTAATTTGGAAGGGCGAATATGTTATTTCCCAAGTTTGGAAGGAAGTATACAAATGTGAAAGGCTTGGGTAGATCAAGAACACAAGCCCAGCTTCAAGATCTCATGATCGGCCCAATACCGATCCAAATAAATTGATCGGATGATATTGGTGGGACCGCACCACAGTTATTTTATGGGCATATGTTTTCGAAAACTATTTGACGACCATCAAATCGGCATGACCGACAAGGAAGAGCGGATGATATCAGCCCAACAAAACTCGTGGATTATCACGCGACCCGGGTGATCCGGTTCGTGTCCCAAGTAGGGACGTGTCACCCGATCGTCGCGGCGGGCAATTCCTTTGACACCCTCCCAAGTCGGCTTAAAGTGTGGAGAGAATCACGGAGGTTTCACCCACCCACACACCAAAGCGTCATTTTTATGTTCTTTATGGGCCCCAACGGTTTGACAGAGGAAGTTGTGGACGTGTCTTCATCCTTCTTTGGGTAAGCTCGGAACCCCCTCTCACCTAACCACCACCCCCCCTCCTCGCATCCACTCCTCTTTTCCCATTGCATCACCAGTCACTGCGTGAGTTCAGCAGTCCGCTTCCTTCAACCAATCACCATCTCACATCCACAAAACAAGCAATAAAGAAAAAGTATTCCACTACTAAGCTTCTCGCCTATTAATTTGAACTCCTTAATCTCCGGTTTGCTCTGATCACCTTTGACTTGCTCAGAAACCACACTCAGAAATTATTATTACATTATATGAGTGAGGAAATACTATATATATATATATTAAATAATGAGAGCACTTGTAGCGGAAGTATGCGTTAGTTTCGCTCGCTCGAACTGCTTAAGTGTCGGCAGGCAGAGGGAGCTCACAAAACGCCTCCCTCGGCGACTCTCGTCGCCCGCTCACTCGAGCTGCTGCTGCTGCTTTTCTTAGCTCGATCTGCCCGCCCTTGGCCGGATCTGGGAAGAAGCGACGAAACCGCCTTCCTTCCCCTCTCTCTCTCTCTCGCTCTTGCTTTCTCTCTGAGCAGATCTCAAGCCCCTTGTAGTTGCTGTAGCTGCTCCCTCTTGCTTTCTCTATTTGTGTGTGCTTGGAGGAGCTTGGCGCCCGCAATGGCGGTGGATCCCAGGCAGGTGGTCGCCGGATTTCTCACCATCTCCATGTTCGCCATGCTCGGCAACATGATCAAGAGGGACCACTTCGATTCCATCGAGGTGATCAATGCATGTGTCCCTCTTTTTCCTATGATGTATTTATGATGTTTAGTTGCCGGATCGGGAAGATCTTGTGTAAAGGTGTAGTCTTTCGAGTGATGCAGATTGGTTACCGGATGCATGCGGGTGCACTAAAATTAGGCATTTTTTATCACCGTGACCCAAACTTGCTACTCCATAACTGGATGAACTGGATCTGTTATTCCTCTGATTTTTACCTGATCTGGTCAATCTTTTTTTGGGCATGCATGAACAGTATATTAGGACATTTGCATCTTCTATTTTTTTTTTCTTTTGCTTTTTAAATTTGGGTACATGTTCTTATTTCTGATTACAGAGAATTTACGATAATGTGTATTACTAGGATCTTTTTACTGATCGGATTAACGTCATTGAGGATGCTGATATTACTTATTAGGCAAGAGTATCTATTGCTCTATTTCGTTGTTCTTGATTTTTAATTTCGAGGAAAAAAAGCCACATGATCAGCATTAAATGTGATGACGTAGCGATCTTGATTGTTTCTCTTTTGTTTGATCCTCTATAGAATCCAACTCTAAACTTTTAACTGATATTGTCATTATGTGGACAAGATCGACTGCTCACTTGTTCATCGCAGTTAAGCAGGCAAACATGGAAATTTTAGTTGCACTACACTAGCTTTGAAATGAATTGGTCAGTGTCAATTCAGTAGTTGTTAGAGGGAAAAGTACGTGTATACCATTAACCTCTTATTTCTCAAGATGTAGATGTGCAGTTAACGAAGATATGCATGCCTTTGCTGAGCCTTGTATTTGATGTTAGCGTTCCATGACTATGTTGAACAGGCACGATCTGGAAAGGTCTTTCCAGTCATATATTCATATTAAAATAAACATTTAAAGACAATTGCTATCTCAAATCTGGATGAATTGAACTTCTTTTGTATGCCCTTGTAGTTCACATTAGTGTTTTCCTCCCTTCTTTTCCCTCATCTGGTTCATATGTTTCTTGGCAATCATGGACAGTAAATTTAAATATTTACATTAGTTTTTAAATGAGGAGCAAAAGAAAAATAAGAACTTAATCTTCTCTTTGTCATAAAATATCGACGACAAAACTTAACTCTATCTCGGGCTTAGTTGGTTTTGTCTAAGTCGTGCAATACCCTTGTGTATCCATCTGTAAAGGGTCAGCCTCCGTGAAACCTTTTATGGAGAAAGTGTTTAACTTGGAATCTCATAAGCATATATTTCAGCAAACACTTGATAAACAAAACAAATTATAAATACAAACTTCGTAAGCTTTGAATAGTCATGCAATAAAGGATCCAAGATGGTCTACCGTAACCAAAAGTCCCCATAAGTACCCACATAACACTACCATGGAATAAGGTAGCGAATCAATCTTAGATACTACCCCAAATGCCCATCCATCTATGTGCCACCCAGTTAGCTCCCGGGTGTTGTGCTGGCTAACACTTTACACCGCTCTACGGAGCTAGAAAACCCTCAAAATAATTATTTGAATGATCTACTTTTGGGCAATTTTGCCTATATGCGACGACTGCAGATATTATTGTTAGTAAATTCTTTGCCTTAGGTCCTTACTGTTCACTTTTATTTATCTTCTTTCCTTCCTAATAGTTAGTTAGTTACAAAATCTGAGTGTTCATTCTAGGTGCCCCATTGTCTCCATGCTTTAGACAATTAATGCATTAATGTTTGCTGTATAAAGTATTTCTTTCATCTTTTAGTTCATTCTTTCTTTTTCTTTTGTTGCATACCTTTAGGTGAGTATTCAAGAAACATCAGTTGTACAATTTGATGCATTAAAGGCAGAAGAGAAGTCTGTTACCCAAGTCTCTACGGAGAGCAGCCCAGAGCTTAAACCTTGTTGGGCCAAACCAGTTCCAAGTAAGTAATATAATGTGTTGGGATTTATTATGCTATTCCAGTTGGAACTCTACTCCTCTTTATTGATTTTGGAACTTGGATTTTGGTCCATCATTTCCCACCTGGATTTGCATGTTTAGAAGAGATAGAGCAGTCAAAAGGTTTCATTACATTCTCTTTGACGGGTGGTCCTGAGCACCATATTTCACAGGTATGAAAACCGCACTTTGATTTTCATGGTCGTGATTTCCTCTCATTTTAATGATTGTAAACAGTGAATGCTTTAACAAATGCTTATAAATGGAGTACTTTTATAATGTGTGTCTGTGGTTGACAAAGCTAATCTATTGAAATAGTCACTTTTACAAGTTAATTTTATCGTCAAGTTGTTGCTCTGTTGAAATATTCTCCCACACAGCTACTCAGGCTGAAATTTATGAAGTAGCTTTTTATTTTTATTTTTTTATGTTATCTAACTTGTACTATTTTTGGGTTCTGCAACACTTCATTTGTCTTGACTAGAACATGCCTTAACACTGATCTATGGCTGTATAGTATTGTACCCTTCTTTTCTTTTATTTTCTTTTGTAATGTATTCATCCTAGATCAATTTTTTTTTTTTTTATATGTTTCTCTTTTTTTTTGTTCAAATAGAATGTAAAACTGAACCACATGCCCTGAGAAGTCTTTTTTTTTTATTATCTGCAATCAATTTCATCATTCAGGTCACAGATGCTGTAGTAATCGCAAGGTATTTAGGTGCCATTTTAGTGATTCCTGACATCAGAGGAAATGAGGTTGGTCAAAGAAGGTAAGTTTCCAATTTTTATCATACTCTGCCAGCTTCTCTGGATTTTGTTCTAGTGTTAATTTACCAGTTTTCTTTGTCATTGTAACTTTGATCATAACTAAAATTTCAGCATTATGATTATGATTTTGAATTTTCTCCCTCTTTTAGGAAAACACCAGAAACAGCAAAATGTAGTAAAGTGAAAATGCTTTGCATTGTCTTCAGATCTTAAAAATATATAGTTAAAATTGATCAGAGAAATGATCAGTGTGTGCTCTAGTGTGAAAGAGAAAACCAGGATTAATGAGTTACTGTGGTATTTTGTTTCATATGCTTCAACCATTGATACCAAATGCTAGACTTATATATATATATATATATATATATATATATATATGTGTGTGTGTGTGTGTATATGTGTATATGTGTATATATATATGTGTATATGTGTATATATACATGTATATACATGTATATATATATATATATATATAGAGAGAGAGAGAGCATCTCTAAGATGCATATGACAGCATTTTTTCCTCCGAAACATTGAGGTAGTTCAGATCTTGTTTTTCCTTTTGTTTGTTGCTTTTTCATAGATCTTCAATTTTCTTCTGCAATTAAAACACTCCAAATGCTTACAGGAATTTTGAGGATATGTATGATGCCGATAATTTCACTGCAAGCTTGACTGGAGTTATAGAAGTTGTCAGAGAGCTTCCTGCTGAAGTAACTACTGAAAATCCCGCTGTCATCAGAGTCCCCAATAGGGTATCAGAGGACTTCATTAAGAACAATATTCAACCAGTCTTCCAAACAAAAAGTTACCTGAGACTTGCAACCTTCTTCCCTTCAATCAATTTGAAAGCATCGGGAAAGCCTAATACCGACTTGGATTCAACTGCTTGCTTAGCTATGTTTGGAAGCCTTGTAATGAAACAGGAAATTTTGGAAGTGGTTGACCGGATGGTTGAGAGACTGAAAACTATTAGTCGCAATACAGGAAGCCAGTTTATTGCAGTCGACATAAGGGTTGATGTGCTAGAGAAAAAGAGCTGCAGAGAGAAAAGCAATGGAAGAAAACCTTGTTACACTGCAGTGGAGATCAGAGATTTCTTAAGAAAAGTCGGGTTTAATGCAGATAACACGATTTACCTAACTGAGACCTGGTGGCATGAAAGTCTAAACCCATTGAAGGAGGTCTTTCCGAAAACTTATACTAAGGTAAGTTCCACTGATTGCTTAACTCTATGTTTCCAAGAACTTTATGTTTGTGGTATAGCATTTATGGTTGATACATAGGTTACGATTGCACCAGTATGTGCCGTGAGCATTAGTGCATGAACACTTAGTTATGACTCAGAGAAATTCTGTGTGCTTTCAAGCTTAACCATCAGTGCATCATCCTTGACATTTACAGTTAACTATTTTGATAGGCAAAAATTTGGTTTACATATAATTTTTCATGTGTCTCAGATATTATGTTTGCGGAAACAGTCAAAAAGTACAAATTTGTTAAGGGAAGGTTTAGTTTAGCCTCTTGTTGCTTGTCTTTTGATTGTGATTAATTCTAGGACACTCACCATTTTGATGATACATAATCTTGATATTTTGTAATTTGATCATGAAATCTGCATCTTTGGTTCCTCAGAAGCATATACTGTGCATTCTGCCTCCGGCTCAAAGTTCATTAGTTGAGCTAAAACTTAGATCTAAAGATTTACATTCTGCTTTCGTTTTGTTGCAGGATGATCTGATACCTGCAGAGAAGAAAGGTCACTTCCTCCAGTCTGGAGGCGCCGAGCTGCAGAGAGCACTCGACTTCCAAATCTGTTCCAAAAGCGATGTCTTTGTGCCTGCGATATCTGGTTTATTCTACGGAAATGTAGCTGGCAAGAGAATCACTTTGGGTCGGACCCAAATCCTCGTCCCATCCCAAGTTCCTAGCTCCTCTCCTACAGCTTCCAATTTCTTCTCGCCTTATGTCTCCAAGAGGAATCACGTTGCCTACTCATGCTTCTGTTAGTTATATGAAGAATGAACTGTAGCAGGGCAGCAGAGAGCCTCATTCCTGTTGTTGGAGTCTGCTACTTAGCTTTCATCTTTGCAATGTGTACTTGGTTTCAAAATGATCATATGAAGTTGAACAAGTTGACTGTGTGCCGGGTACATTTTATATAGGGCTGAATTTTTACTATCCATATGAGTTTTATAATGTACGAACATGAAAATTCAAATCATTGGATGAAGATGTTTGAGTCCTCAATCTCTGGTAAATGAAAATTCATACCATCTTTTTAAGGTATAAATTCTAAAATTAATGTGATGTATTATTTATATGCATAAAATGTGTTGATCCTTTTGATGTGTCTATATTACATAATGTCACGGACTTAGTTGGAATTGCTTAAGCCGTGAAATACCTTTGCGCCAACTTTTTGGATTTAGTTGGGATTGCTTAAGTCATGACGTGCTCTTGCGTTATGCATTCGTAAAGGGTCAACCAGTTTGCAACCTCACTCAAGTCCCGAAGGACCTGTAAAAGAGAAAGTTGATTAGTTAGAAAAACGAACAGCGGACAAGTCCTGATGTCTTGTGAAAAGGGGAAGCTTTACAAGCAATTCAACAAGCACCTTAAGTGCAAAAGAGAAAAGAGAAGAAAGATAAAAGGACTTTAGAAGGTAGAACAAATAGTTGCAAGTCCACAAACAACTGCTCATCGGGTGCCGGGCGCGAAGGCAAGTTCTTGTCAAGTTAACGTGCGAACTTGTGAAGATTTTTCAATGCCCGATAATATACCGAAGCCCCATCCAACCCTGTGTCACTCGGGGGGTTCTAGGGTGCTGAGATGGCTAACGTTTTGGGTGCTGTAGTGAGCTGCAGAAAACAGCCCGCAGCATGTGAAAACGAAGCCATTTTGGAGCTTTTTGGCCCAACGCGATGAGCGGTCGCACTGTAACGCTGCAACCTGTTCGAACATGTATTTTTACAAACAAAAACATACAAAACTAAAGCAAAATAGACTGTCATGTTTATGTACAAGCATGCAAAACGAAGTTGTTACGAGTGCGCGATGACCGTTCGTGACAATAAGGTAATCAATCACATAGAATAGGATCTCGACATTAACTAGTTTGGATTACAGGCATATAAAAATATAAAATATTTGAAATATTACTGATCAATTTAATAGTTTTCTATTCAATATTAACATCAATTAAAATTTCATATGGAGAATTAAATTTAAATTTAAAGATTGAAAGTAATCAATATGAGATTTCCGAGGGACGTATTTGCAATTTTTTGCAGAATGGCTACTTATAAGCTCAACTCTTCGTCTGATGAAAACTCTCTTCGGCTCCCCCTCTTCGTTCGTCTCTTTCCCTTCCATTCCATCCCATGGCCATCGTAGTGGCAAAGATCGGTGCCGTTTTGTCGGCCAAAACCCTAGCGCTTGAGCGCTTCCTCTCCTCGCCCTCCTATTCTTCCTCGACCCGTGGCGTTGGCCTCAGGGTCGCCTGCAGATCTTCGCCTTCTCCTTCCACGGAGACCAGGATCTCACGGGCTCAGCGGCGCATGGTCGAGGCGTTCAATCCCGATATTCCCCTCGCCGAAGCCATCACGCCCCCCAGCTCGTGGTGCACCGATCCGTCTTTCCTCGCCCTCGAGTTCGACCGCGTCTTCTTCCGGGGATGGCAGGCCGTCGGTAATTCCTCCTCCTTGAATCTAGAAAAAACCCTTCTTGTCTATTGCTCGATTGAACATAACTACGTAAAGAGGGGAAGGAATTTATCACAATTTGTCGCCATGTTAATGATATCTGATCATCTTTATGGTGATTTAGGGTGTGATACGCCGTGATCATTGGAAAAAGATTTTTGTTATGTGTGTTCCTTATCGTTGTTAGGGTTTATATTGATTGAATATGGCTCTTCTCTTATTGTATAGTCGTCCTGTAATCTTTGATTCGGAAGAGCTGGAATTTTTATCTGCAGATTGTATTCAGTAGTTGCTGAGTTTCTTTAACTTAATGATATGTAGGTTACACTGAACAGATTGAGCAGCCTCGTGATTTCTTCACAGGAAGGTAGTACCTTTCTTTTTAACCAAACTTATGTGTTTTGGTAAGTTAAGTAATTTGTGTTTGGTGCTTGTTCTTGTGGCTAATGTGGATGTGGTGGAAACTAAACTCCAGTGCTAGTTCGAAAATAGCTTTTAGATTGAATCCATGAATTCTTGAAAAGTAATATACAGTCCTGGAAACTAGCTCTGAAGAAGCCTTGCCACATCTCTGCATCATTTTTAGTTACTGAATTTCTGTAGCTCAGAGGAAAAGTCTGCCTTTTTGTCATACTTATAAAACTGAATTCATTTGACTTTGTGTCAAATTGGCAGTTGAATTTTGAAGATATCATGAGAAAACATAATATGAAACCTGGACATACATGCACCCTAAGTTGTTCTGTTAGTAGAGACTTTATATATGTGGTAGGATTCATTATTGATCTATTACCTAAATTGACTAATAGAACACAGATCCATGTGTAAGGGCACAAGGTTAACTTTTCAAGAAATCATAAGAAGCATGAGACCCCTTTAACAGTAATTAGGAATGGACTTAGTCACGTACTTAGTTATAAAGCTCTTTCTCTATGCAACATCAGACCTTATTCTTTTTGAAATCCTAAATTAGTATGATATTTTAGGACGGACACCTTGTTTAACTAATTCAGAATTTCAAATTGTACATGACATAACTGATCTGTTTGCTTGTGCACACTGTTTCTAATTACAGACTGGGAAATGTTGAATTTATTGTTTGCCGAGATACTAATGGAACTCTTCGTGCTTTTCACAACGTGTGCCGCCACCATGCTTCTCTAGTTGCCTCTGGAAGTGGGCAGAAGTCATGCTTTGTGTGCCCTTATCATGTGAGTTTCTAGAAGTGAAATCATATCTAAAAAACATTTAAGGACATATCTAGGCATGTGCACAAACTCTCGTGTTCTCATAAATTTACATGATTAATATGAATCATCTTATATCATTTGTGTATCATGACATCTAGGTCTTCTAATATCTTATTTCTTTAGGGGTGGACCTATGGTCTAGATGGCACCCTATTGAAGGCTACTCGAATTACAGGAATCAAGAACTTAAAAAAGGATGTATGTTTTGTACAGATGTGTTCCATTTTTTTCTATGAGTTCTTTCCATGATGTAGAGGTGAAGTGGATCTTTGCTCTTGGGGAGCAGGAATTTGGTCTTATACCATTGGCTGTGGCTACTTGGGGACCTTTTGTACTCATCAGATTCGACAGGCATCCTGTTCCTCAGCAAAATTGTTGTACTAAGACAGTGGAAAATGAATGGCTTGGGAGTGCTTCAAATATCCTGAGCACGAATGGGATCGACTCTTCATTGAAACATGTTTGTAGGCGTGAATATACTGTCCAATGTAATTGGAAGGTATGATGTAGCAATGCCTAACTTCATTGGCAGTTAGCATTTCATTTGTTGGTAACTAGGCTTTAGCATTGACAAGAAAAAGTAGATGACGTCATGCATAATATATCTATTGTTTTCTCATCAATTTTGCCATTCATCCAGGTTTTCTGTGACAACTACTTGGATGGTGGATATCATGTTCCTTATGCTCATGGAGATCTTGCATCTGGTCTTAATCTTGACTCATATTCAACCCTTGTATGGTAACTCCTAAGTATGACTATTCATTTTTAGATCTTCCATATCCTTTGTTGTTCTCATAATACAATCTCAAACTTGGCATTTGTAATAATCGGAGCAGTAGTCTTTGTAGTTCTTTATTGTTTCTTGAACCTGTACATGCTGAAGTAGACACATGAAACTTTGGACATGATTCAACTAACTCCTATAAGAGCTTTTACTTATTCTACTTTGATGTTTCATCTATTTTTTCCCTTTTCCCGATACCGATGTACAACCAGATTTAATCTTAGCTTTGCATGCATCTATGTCAACTCTTTATGGAACTGATTTAAACTATATTACTAATTTAGTCCCTTTTATTATTCTGAATCTGTATAGGAAATAAATAAAAGCAACAAGATTTTGTATGTTACTCTCATTTTGAGCTCTTAACTGTGCTTTGCAGATATTTGAGAAAGTGAGCATTCAAAGATGTGAAGGTGGGCCAACGGATAAAGATGGATTTGATCGGCTAGGCTCAAAAGCATTATATGCTTTTGTTTATCCTAACTTCATGATCAACAGGTCTGTTGGAACTTATTCAGCTTCTTTGAATAGAAAACACAGGATTATGGTTTTTAGCAGCTCTTGTGCTTTTATGTCAAGTGATATTTGATTATTGGGTATATGTAATGCAGGTATGGTCCATGGATGGACACTAACTTAGTTGTTCCAGTGACCACAACCAAATGTCAAGTGATATTTGATTATTTTCTTGATGTGTCCCTTGTGGTGAGTACCTTAATGCTTGTTTTGCTCGTTAGAAATTCATTAACGATCATCCTAGAAAGTGCAATTCCAACTTCTGATAGCCTTTCATGCTGCTGTGGAGCATATTTGTCATATCTGTCATTATCTGTCACAGAATTAAGGGTCATTCAGGATGAGTCATCTGAAAATTTTGGAGTTATTGTGATTGATGAGTGTGGCCCAATTTCCTCGACTCAGATCAATACATGACTTGATCCTTAGTCACCTAAATTGCAAAGGAGCAACTTTATCATTGACCTTACTGGGGCTATAACCTAGCTAAACTGGTAGAAAGATCTGTGTGAAAAAATTTCTTCTTGTTGGCCAATAGCTTCATCTTTCTATGGACTTTCAAACTCATTAAAATAACTGCATCCGGTCCATACTTGCACCATGGATTTATTGCTGGATCTCTATGTGACAAGATTTGCCTATTGATTTAAGTGCTGAAATATTTCCAATTTCTGTTTAACATGGTTGCACTAAAAGTTTCAGTTTAGATAGCTCATGAAAGTGCAGGTATTGGACTTCAAGCTCCTTTCTTTTACCCTAATATTCTTCAGAGATTCAAAAATTTGGAAGGCATTATCTTGTTCCCGACAACATTTTGGTATATTGGTTGTTTTGGAACATCAGTAAGGCAAAACTAATGCTGAAGGATAAAATTCAGCATCAGTATATTTAAGTGCTTCATTTGTCTACCATGGTTTCTAGGGTTCTAGAATATCACAACTTGGTTCTTGTTTGATCCATTCGATATATCAGCTTTACTAAGCTCTCTCGTATGAAATGCTCCAGGATGACAAGGTGTTCATCGAGAGAAGTTTAGAAGAGAGTGAGAGAGTGCAGGTGCGTCATCACTTCTTCCTCAGCCTTGTTGCATATTAAAATTGAATGAACAGATTGAGGTCATCAACACAAGCTTCCAAATTGGAGTGCAGTTACAAGACATCGTACTATGTGAAGGGGTTCAGCGAGGCCTGGAATCGCCAGCTTACTGCAGCGGAAGATATGCGCCAACGGTTGAGATGGCCATGCATCACTTCCACTGTCGGCTGCATGAGTGCCTTGGTAACATCTAATGTGTTACTGCTTGCTTCTCCTTCATAGAACATATGAACCTTAGCATCGCAACTTGAATTTGTTGGATTCCTAGCAAATTTATTTGCAATGCTAAAATATATAGACTTCATTTTGGTAATATTGATACCAAGCATAGTCGAATAACTTGTCGAGCCAACTCGAAGGCTCAAGTTGTGATATACAACCAACAACAGAAATTATAGAATATATATTAAGTCTCCAAATTATTGTGCAAATCTCAGTAAACATGACGTATGTCATTCATCATCATCATCGACAGCAGAATATCTATTTACACTCCGGATGTCGAACAATTCGTCTGTGTTCAGCTAAAAAAAATGAGCGGCAAGCAAAAGGAAGGAACGACCGACAAACTTCAACGGGAGATGAAAAATGTGTACCTTTAATCATGGGCTTCTCATACGTCTGATGCAGAGAGATGTTCAAGCGTAGAAGGTGGTGGCAGTGGAAGAAGCTCGATGGGAGACCAAGCGACGGCGGCAGAGGGTGCAGATGAACTTCCGCTTGGTCCTGAAGCAGAGGGGGAGGAAGCAGAAGCTGCAGGCGCTCTCCACGTCGGTGGCCACGACCTTTCCGCCGATAACTCCGCAGCACTCGCTGCTGCTCCACGTCGCACAGCAACACCAGGCACCTCTCTCTCTCTCTCTCTCTCTTTCTCTCTCCCTCTTGCGCGCGCGTGTTTCAGTGCAGTCGCGGAGATCTATGGTGAATTTTTGGAAAAGGCCTTTGACTCTCAGTTTTTTTCTAAAGCATTCTTATTTTAAAAATATCTAAATAGCACATCTATTTTATAAAATCTAAATAGCACATCCAAGGGTTTAGGGTTTTCGGTTTTTGCGTTGAGTTCTTGTGTTGGTACTGTTCCATTCAATAAAAAATAAATATTATCTTTGAATCTATTTTATAAAAAAATAATATTATCATAATATCCTTGAAAATTTGATTGGGTTTACACAGGGTTAATCGAAAAAAAAAGTTTTACTTGAATCGATTCACATTTACCAATCGATGTGAACGGTGGTGTACAACATTGTATCTTTGACCTTTTCATATTCTATAGATGTCTTCAACTTTCACCTATTCTGTAGTCATCAAGTAGCGTTGAGTTCCTACATCGAAAGGTTTAGGGTTTTCGGCAGTTACCAAAGTACGTTGAGTTCTTGTGTCGACACTATTCCACTGTATTCTGTCGCCACTATAATGAGACTTCTAGGGTTCTAGCATTTTATTTTTGTGTCGAGTTCCATATTCTCAACTACAATGGTTCCAGCTTGTTGGCTTCTAGGGTTTCATCGTTTGTGACAGCTTTTGCCTCATTTCTATAATATTTTGAAGCTAGGTCATATGAACATTGTGAACATTTGATGTTTATCGATCAATGTGAAGGGAGGGTTATGGGTTTTTACTATCAAGATTTTGAACATTGTTTATTAAAAAAATTTAAACAGTGCACTTCTATATCAAATTTTATAATTTTGAGTATTTTTTAATCAATTTTTCAACTGAGTAGTCTTTCATTTTCTTATTTCTCCTTATATTCAAATTATATCAAAATATAATGCATCCATATAACAGGTCCACAATATATGAAAAAAAATTGTCCATAAAAATTTTTCCTAATACTCAATACCTTATTTTTGGATAAAATAAAAAAATAATATATTGATTAGAAGGACTATTAAAAATGATTAGAATTTTTTAATATGGCACAGTTGGACATACATCACTGTTTTTCTATTTTAGAGATATTTTTTGATATTTTTATGAATTTTCCAGCATTTAAACAATATATCATTTTATAATTTTTCTCCTTATTTTTTTTATTTTTACAAAAATATAATATATCAATATAATATTTCTTGACATTTGAGCTTCTAAATAGGTCCAAAAATATTTTTTAAAATGCGATGTATTATTTTTTAAAAAAATACAAACAATGCATATTATAGAAATACTATTCAAAATGACATGAAGCTTTTAGAAAAGCTTTGAAAATGATAGAGCAAGACATGTGTCATTGTTTTTTCCATTTTAGAGAATTTTTATTCTTGTTATGAATTTTTTAGAATCTGAATAGTATTTTTTATTTTCTCCTTTTTTAATTTCTATCAAAATATAATGCATCAATGTAATATTTTTTTGATATTTGAACTTCTAAATATGGCCACAATATATGGAGAAAATTTAATCTATAAAAAAAATTTCTAATATGCAATGTAATATTTTTGGAAAAATTTTAAATAATAGTGTGTCACTTAGTAGGACTATTCAAAATGATCTAAATTTTTAAAATGCATTGAATACAACATACATGTGCATATGTCATTATTTTTCATTTTAAAGAAATTTTTGATATTTTTTGTGAAATTTTAAATTTGTAAATAGTATTTCATTTTTTATTTTCTTTTTTAAATTTCTATCAAAATATAATGCATCCATTTAATATTCTTTAACATTTGAGCTTCTAAATACAACCATAATATATAGAGAGATTTTGATCTAAATAGATATTTAATATGTGATGCACTATTTTTGGAGAAAATTTAAAAATAGTACATCACATGCAAGAATTGTTCCAAATGATATGAAATTTTAAGAAAAATTTGAATATGACACAATGACATATGCCACTATTTTTTTATTTTAGATAATTTTTTGATATTTTTACATTTTTTTAGCATCTAAATAGGGTTTTATTATTTTATTTTCTATTTTTAAATTTCTATCAAAATATAATGGGTTCATGTAATATTTTTTAATATTTGAGCTTCTAAATAGGTTCACAATATATGAAAATTTTCCTAATATGCAATGTAACATTTTTGGGAAAAAGTTAAAAATAATATGTCGCATTGTTTCAAATGACCTATTTTTTTAAGAAAAGTTTTAAACACAACACTGATGGACATATGTCACTTTTTTTTATTTCATAGAATTTTTTGATATTTTTATAAATTATTTAGCATCTAAACAATATTTCAATTTATTGTTTTCTCTTTGTTTTTAAATTCTACTAAAATATAATTCATCCATACTTTCTAACATTTGAGCTTCTAAATAGGTCCATAATATATAGATAAAATTTGGTCTAAAAAATATTTTTTAATATGTGATGCACTTCTAAATAGGTACATTGCATAGAAGGACTCTTTAAAAAAATAACCTAAATTTTTTTACTAAACTTTGAATACAACCTAGATGAACATATGTCACTATTTTTTAATTTATAGGAATTTTTTTTGATAATTTTCAAATTCTTTTAGCATCTAAATAGTTTTTTTTTATGTTTTTATTTTTTTCTAATTTATACCAAAATATAATGCATCCACATTTGAGCTTCTAAATAGATCCATAATATATGGAGAAAATTTGATCAAAAAAAAAATATCCAAATATGTGATGCACTATTTTTTGAGAATTCAAAAATAATGCATCGAATAGAAGAACTCTTCAAAAAATAGTGAATATGATCTAGTTGGACATATGTCACTATTTTTCCATTTTAGAGAAACCTTTTACTAATTTTTTGATTTTTCAGCATTTGAATAGTGTGCCATTTTCCCATTTTCTTCTTATTTTTTATTTGCATAATTATTGATTAAATTATCAACTCTAATCTCTTTGGCTTTAAACAAGAATTAATCATATCACCAAGTTCTTATTATACACGTAGAAATTCCAAAGCCAACTGCAAGAATGTCAATTTATACATAAGTATATTTTTGTTTAATTTTTTATTATTAGTTTTTTTAATTATCATTGATAATTTTTTTTAATTTTATCTATGTAGTTACATATATTGGTAATCGTGGATCAGGTCATTTCAACGATGAAGAGAGATAAAAAGTCCTTCTAATTAGATAGTTTTAAGATGAAACTTTGTGGATCATTTTTGTCACTTCCTTATAGCATCCGCTATGCTTAATTGAGTAAAATTGATCTCATTATAACAAAAATTGTCATTTAGGTATTATAAGGAGTACTTTTATTTGACCATTTCTTAGATATCCGTGATATTATCATATCTTATGGATTAATATTGATAATTATAAAATGATGGTATAAGTTTCTAGTGAATGTAGTGGAATTATCATTTTTGGTATTGGATATATCTTTTCTTCTTAATCCATCAAATACTAAAAAAATTATTGATATAAAGTCATCTGGATTTTCTAGGTATCTTAAAAAATATTTTTACAATCGAAGTATCAATCGCAGCGATTTAGAAAAGTACATGATAGATCAGTTATGAATTTTTGTCATTGTATGTGCTATATATATTTGCATGTATATAATTTTGTCAAGGCAACTACATATTACAATGGTCATTAGTTAATAGTTTGAAAATTTTTAATAAGTATAATTGAGTATTTGTAGTTCATTCATTATTTTTTAGATGATTTTACGAGTGAGAGAGAGAATATGAAATTTTAAGTGAAACTAGTGTTCATCTATAAGTATTTGAAGGGTTAGCTACCTATATTATAGATAAATTATTATACCCTATTTTTTATATAATATAATTTGATCCTAATAGGTATTTGATGTTTGATATGGGTAGTTTTGTGAACACGTCTCGAAGTATAATCTCTAAGATTATGGAAATGATCTATTCTTATATTACATTGAAAAATAATTAATAAATTGATATCTACAATATCATATGACAAAAGTATGTTCTAAATTTAGATTTGTAATTGTACCTTCTTTTGGAAAATTATCATAATGATCATTTTTTGCTATTCATATATTATTAGAAAGCTAAGTCCTTTACGATATGAGGTATGGTTAAATTCATACGATTAACCACCTGATGAGGTACTAAATGCTAAGGTACCATTTGCTGAAATATGTTTCTCCAATCAACCATACCAATTGTAGTTTTCTTTAATATAACTAGGTAATGAATTAGTTTATCATTCTAAACTTATGACACCTTCGATACATATATATTGATAATGTCTCAACAGAGTAATCCAAGCCACATGAATCCCAACAATCACAATGCAGAAACTATGTTATATGTATTGACATGCTTAGAACTTTCATGTTCTTTGTGCAGCAATATGGCTGGGGTTATGCGGTCATTAAAATGTTACCCAAGGAATTAAAAAAATATGTGTACCAATTGATAAGGTATGTTTTGGGTCAAGACACATCACAACCGATGCCACGCCATGCTACAGCCGAGTCAGTAAGGGGAGCACCCCCACGC